GCTGCTCAAGAAACATTTCTGATTATTATCAATGTTGAAAACAGGTTTTCAGGATTCTTTGATGAATAGAAAGATCCAAAGATCAGCATTTATCTGAAATAAAAAGCTTTTGTAACATACACTTTTCCATTCAAAAGCTTGGAGTCAGTATCATTTTTTATTTTTTTTGGGAAAGAAATTATAGAAATTAATACTTTTATTGAGCAAGGATGCTTAAAATGGATCAAAAGTGATAATAAAGGCATTTATAATGTTACAAAAGATTTCTATTTCAGATAAATAGTGTTCATATCGATATCGAAATTCTATCGTATCGACCGAAATTAAGAAATATATCGTGACATGAATTTTGGCCATATCGTCCAGCCCTAGTTTAGAGACAGATGGTCAGTCAGACAGTCAGAAGAGAGAAAGATAATAACAGTTTTCTCTATGTACGATGTTAACGGCTAGGCTGAACTCTTACTTTACAGCGGCTGCTGTGACCCACCTTTGCTTTCTGTGCATTACAGTATCTGTGTTGTTGTTTTATGTTGTATCTGAAATGAGCAACCTGATTCTGCACTGAACCGCTGTGCCAATCCATCACGTGTACTTTACTTTCCCAGAATCTGACAAACATGGAAATCATGACACTGGTCACAGGTGGTTTGGATCAAGCCTACAGCAGCTGGCCTGTGTTGAGCATGCTCTGACAGAAGAGATGTGTGACTTCACGTAACGCAGTGCAGCTCAAGTATAACGACTGCTGCAGCTGGACTCTGACTGGCAGCTGTTGGCTAATAACACAGGACTGCAGGAACGCACCGACGGAGGTGGGCATCTCGCCCCACTGCAGCACCACGTCTTTAGTGATGCGGCCGTAGGTGTTGACATACACGCCCTCGTCCTCGTAGCACAACAGCAGCTCGATGCCGTCCGTGTTGGGCAGGATGATGATGGCGTGCGACTGGATGCTGCTCTGGATCTAGAAGCAATGGAGAGAGAGAAGGTGAAGGGTCAGGAGCACAGCTCAGATGAACAAGCTCAATGCTCTTCTCCATCACTACATACGTGAGTCGGCAGATAGATGTCGTAGACGGCTCCCGAGTCCACATCCACGGCATGAAAGCCAGAGCAGGACCCGTAGATGACCTTTAACCTTTGGCCTTCTTCAACCGTGAGGTCAACCAGCAGCGGCTTGTGCACCAGATCACCGAAGGACTGCCACACAGAGAGGAAAACGCCTCCGGTTATCCACTCAGCTATGAGGCCCATTCACACCCGGAACAAGAACTAGAACCATAACTACATTAGCTTGATGTGTTTATCATGAAGCGCGCTCAGGCTCCTTACAGTCAGCTGGATGCTGACCGGCTGCCAATGTTTTCATCATTTATCAGCTGGAACAATCGCTCTGAAAGTGACTGCAGTGATATTGTGCCTCTGTGTAGTTGCTGTTAAAGTCGCTGCACGCTAACTTCCTCAAACGAAGAGTGCTGGGCCCGGCTGCAGGAAAGCCCTCAAGCTAAGAAATCCCTTAGTTATAAGGTTAACACAGTTATAACCCTTAGTGAAACTTGGGTTGCAAGAAAATTCCTAAGGGTCTTAAGGAACCTTAAGGCTGCCATTAAGTATTCCCCTTAATTATCGAAGTGTTCCCTTAAGTGTTGCTACAAAGTCCTTAGTAACCATTTCTCCTTAATAAATTTAAAGGGGTCATAGGATGCCCATTTTCCACAAGTTGATATGATTCTTTAGGGTCTTAATGAAAAGTCTGTAACATAGTTTGGTTAAAATGTCTCAATGGTAGTGTAAAAACACCTTTTTTACCCTGTCAAAAACAGCTTGTTTCAGATCAAGCCGTTTTGTAGCATTTTCCTTTAAATGTTAATGAGCTATGCTGACCCCGCCCCTCTCTTCCAAGTTTACTTTAGCCGCATTCATCGTGAAACTTGCTAATTAGCACATTATTAGGAAAGGCGATTTGCAAAGAAACAAAGCGGTTTCCTTGGTAACGACTGTACACAAAGCAGCACAGAAACGGGCAGCGCTCATGTTTATTTAATGTTTGTTCGTGTTTTAGTTGGTTAGGTTTGTATTTCGTTATGTTCTGTTTATTGTCATATCTATGTTTATTGTGAGATGTGGTAACTATAGTAACCGCGGCGCCCATTGCCGTATGTGGTCAGAAACTACCGTGAAACGCTTAGTATAAACACTTAGGTAAGGGTGACAGTTAAGACGTTTGTTGCAACGCTCCTAAAGAAATCCCTTACCTCCGGGAATTTTTAAGGGTGACAAGACGTTTGTTGCAACGCTCCTAAAGAAATCCCTTACCTCCGGGAATTTTTTCCCCTCAGGGATACTCCTAAGTCAAATTACTTAAGGACTTTCATGCAACCGGGCCCTGGTCTCTGGAAAACCTCACTCATAGCATAAAACCTCATGAACAATTAATGCAGACAATTTCATACCTGGAAGACCAAGCCCCCCCCAAATCCCTAAATGAACTATTTTTATCAAATTAAAAAGAATGCATGCTAACACTGGCTCTCATTCACTAGCAACTGTGTGAGTAGAAGTTGTACACTTATGTTGCAAAATTTCCACCAGAATAATGGTTGCAAACACACATAAACATGTTCTCATGAATGCCACACATTCTAATGCACAGAACAAATCACGTGAAGTCACTGCGCTGGGTGTCATTTAAGCAATAACTTCACTCTGTGAATGTCTGCAGACCGTGGAACTCCATGCAGCTTCTGTATTTAACCAACCCTATAAACAGACTCCTCTGAATCATTTCATATGTTTTAGCGAAGACCAGAAAAGTGTTTGTTTGTGGTCAGTAATCGTGTAGAAGCTTTGCGCTTGTGCTCACTGTTAGTCTAGGCTCTAAGTGGCGTCCTCAGAAGTGTGCGGTGAAGAGCGAGACAGCTCAGAACAGCACTCACGCTCATGTCAGCTTATTCACCTTGAAAGCCATGAATTTATGGTAGGGTTTGGGAGCCCAGGCGTACACCTCGACTGAATTCTTCAGAGCCAGAACCAAGAACTTGATCCTCTCGTACTTCACTACAGACCAAACACAGCACCAGACGAGCAGATCAATGCCTGAGTAAGGAGCAGAAATAGCACAGCTATGATATGATATGAAGAGATATGACCACGCACCGACGTTGTAGTGCACACAGCCCTCGAGGTCTCCTACGGTGGTCCAGCCCTGCTTCTTCTCCACCTCAGGGTCATTGTGGAGGATCTTGTTCCTCAGCCAGGACAGATAGTACACACGCAATTTATTCTTCTTCCCTACAACAAAACAAAGAGAAGTACTTGAGTTCTCTTGCTCTTCTGGTCCAGACCACACTCGTCTGAATCAGTGGTGTGTGCGCTCGCTGTACGAGCTGATTTACTCTGAGAGCTGATGAGATCCGCTGTGGTTCCCACGAGCTGTTTTGGGTAGCTTTACATGTCTTTGCTCTGTGTTGTGTGTACAGTACAGTCAGGCCACAACAGTTCGTTTGGAAGTGTTTGCTGATTCTTGCGAGTTATGCCCAATATTATGGGAGAATTATCGGAATCGGCTGATAAAGGCTTAAAATTTAAATATCGGCATCGGCCCGATTTGAACAATTATGCCAATGTGCCTTGCAGATCTGAAGCCAGTCTAAATAACTAAAGGGCTTCAGCTTCATGTTTCAGCATCTGGGAGAATGCAGCTTCTCAGCAGCTTGATCTGGATCTGAAGAGTGTCATGAAGGCTTCTTGAATGCCACAGCTGTTTTAAAAGCATCTGTGTGTGTAATGGAATATTTCACCATGTCTAAACCTGATAAACTACAGCATGTGTCAGCGCATTTTGTATAAAACAGCATTTGCACAATTTCTCTGCTTTAAACGGATTACAGTTTCCACATCACACGTGTCACATCAGTGTGTGAGTGTGTGTGTGTGTGTGCGTGCGTGAGCGTGTGTGCGTGCGTGAGCGTGTGTGTTTGTGCGTGCGTGAGTGAGCGTGTGTGTGAGTGTGTGTGTGTGCGTGTGTGAGTGTGAGTGTGTGTGAGTGTGAGCGTGTGTGTGTGCGTGTGTGAGAGTGTGTGTGTGTGAGTGAGTGTGTGTGAGTGCGTTCGTGTGTGTGCGCGTGTGTGTGAGTGTGTGCGTGAGTGAGCGTGTGTGTGAGTGTGTGCGTGAGTATGAGAGTGTGTGTGTGTGAGTGAGTGTGCGTGAGTAAGTGTGAGTGTGTGAGTGAGTTTGTGTGCGTGAGTGTGTGTGTGAGTGTGCGTGTGTGTGTGTGTGTGCGCGTGCGTGTGTGTGAGTGTGTGCGTGAGTGTGAGAGTGTGTGTGTGTGTGAGTGTGCGTGAGTGAGTGTGAGAGTGAGTGAGTGTGAGTGCGTGTGTGTGCGTGTGTGAGTGCGAGTGAGAGTGAGTGAGTGAGTGCGTGTGTGTGTGCGCGTGTGTGCAAGAGTGAGAGTGAGTGTACAGGTTTATATATCCTGGTGGGGACTTAAACCTGAATACACACAGACTCA